CATTCGATGCAGGGCAGGAATCTGTTCCCAGGGGCTGGCTCTTCTCAGGACTGCTGCTTCCTTGAATATTCATTTTGTTTCCATATTTATGAAAAATTCAGGGGACAGGAGGAGCTTTTTATCTCCCAGTTAATGCCTTCATTCACTGAGTCCCTTTAAACAGCCAGTGAAGAAGAGTAGGTACTCTGGAGAGAAATTAAAGGCATGTTACATTGGTCTCATGCTGTGCCTTGCCTTTGAGACATTTCTCTCCCCCCTACACTGATCTGGCTTCCTAATGAGGCCTGTAAACTAGGGAATGCCCCCAACAAGTGTGCTTTCTTACAAGGCTTGCAAAAACGTCCAGGATACCTGCCTGCCCTCTCTGTACTTCTGACCAAATCAACTAGCACCACTGGAGATCAAACAGGAATAAAAGAAATGGCATTGGCAGAAGTAGGTTTAACACCCCAAGTCTATTGGGGGAGAGAATGCAGCATTATTGATTCCAGCCCCTGACCTTGGAGTGATGTAAACAGGAGTGCAGCAACCCTAGAGGAGTTGTAGCAAAATAGTTATAGCATTGCAAGCAGATTAAAAATACAGTTAATATACATACTTCCCCAGATGCTCGTTCGTTATTATTCAAGACATGTTTATTATGCAAAATGATAAAGCAGAAAAAAAGGAGAGGAAAAGAAAATGCAAAGACACACTGAGCTTTTAGCATGACTGGGGTTTTCTCAATGCTGCTTAGAGGTTTTTTTTTTATTGTGAATAATCATTCCCTTATTAGCAGGAATCTTTGAAGTGATTCAGGCTCTAATTTCAGCATTTCAAACTCATAGGTTTATACTGAAAAACCACAGTGAGCTCCTGTAAGGGACTCATTTTTTTTCCTCTGTATTCTCTATCTCTGCTAGGGTTTTCTATGTCTTCCCAATAAATTATGTATCGCAATTTGCCATTTCAAAAATAATTAAAACTCCAAGTTAAACAAAAAGGAATATCTGAGAGCAATACATTTTAGAAGAGAAGTGTTCTGCGCTTGGGGCAAAACCAATCCCAGCTGCAATGCCACTGAATTATAGATATCATCATATTGAGAGATGCACTTCCAGTGTACTTGGAGTGATTGGGTGGACCTGTGGAGACTCTACAGCCCCATGGTGAAGATCTGCTCCAGGAAAACCAGGTTTGCCTCCCAGGCAAAATACTTCACAAGCACTCCCTTTCCCATGCCCCTGTGTAGGGCATAACAGAGGGAAAGCTGGGAACCGAGGGGGGAAACGTCACAAAGTTACACAGGAGTGGAAATTAATTTCGTGGTGAAACTATTAACTCCAGACAGACGGGGAGCATGTTCTGAGTCTTCTCCTGTTAGGATTATTCTGTAAACTCACAGGAGCACGGCAGATCTCTTTATTCCATGTTTCTGAATCCTGTACAACATTCAGCCCCTGGTATCATATTCTTCCCAAGTGCTGAGGCACTGTAAATTATACCCACTGCCCTTCATTCATTCTGTGCAATTTTACTTTGGCTTCAAATGCTAACAGTGGTTCTTCAGGAGAGTCAAGCCCCTCCCCAGAACAGATGCTGATTGAAACCTTTGTGCACCCTCAGGGAATTTACAGCTGCTGTACATTCCAGGAAATCCAAACTGAACACACCAATGACTCCCCAAGCTTGCTATGCAGACACTGGCTTGCATCCTCCTTTCTGCAAATCAGGATACCTCCAACTAAAGCATGATTTTCTTGTCTGCTTATCACCTAATTCCCATGTCGACCTCAGAGATAGCAACAACCTCGTCTGGGGGAAACTAAATCAGGTATCTAGTGTGAGTAAGCAATGCACAAGTCCCAAACAGCTGCTTCCCAAACAAAGAAGGTTTAGCATCCAATAAATTTAGGCCTCTAAAGCTGGCTAGGAATATATGGTTGGCTTCAACCCAGCCTGACACTATCCCTGCCTGAACAGATTAGGCAGGGATGAGGAAACTCATTGCTGAAGGTAGCGATGTGGCCAAGCCATCAGAAGGTCTTGCAAGTTTCTAGGAAATGCTATCTCACCACATTTGGCTTTAGAGGACTCTGCTCAGCCCTACTTTTGTGCTAATCAACACAAGAAAGACTTTTTCCAGGAGCTGGTTATTCTAAGCCCATTCATTCAAGAGCCCATTGGCCTAAACTCAGAAGGAGCTGGCACAAGCCATCCTTGAGACCAGGCTGATAACAGCCTCTGGTTGGATCCGGGGCAGAGGATGCCAGCCAAGACCTCAGCTGTCACACAGAGATTAAACATCACTAAAAACACCACAAAACAAAACCAAAACCCACAGTGATGATGTGCTCAGTTGCAGCATCAGTCTGGGTTCAAGAGGAGCGAAAAGACCCCAAGCCAAACACAAACAAACAAACAGAAAAAAACCATTACCCTGGATAATTTTATTTGAAACTAGTCCTGCACTTGAGGGTGATCTAAGAAGTCCTTACAGAGCTTCCATGCAGCATGGAAGGCAGCCAAGCAATTCATTTTTCAATTGACTCATGTGAGCGAACAGTATCTGTGGGGAATGTTGACCCATTTTTTTTCAGAAATCCCCCAAAAAAGGCTAGTGAAAAAAACCAGGTACACACACAGAGAGAACAAAGCTGTAGTTTAGGGTCTGCTAAGCAAAGATCAGGGACAAAGTGTCCTCTTGGTGTGGTTAGCAATGAGGTCCAGGCAGCATGGCCTGGGGACCCTCACCCCACAAGGAAACCTGCAGCATCCAAAAGAGACTGCCTAAACAGGTTGAGCTCTTCTAAGATGTATCTTCTTTCATGGCATCCTGATCTCATCCCCTGTCCTTTACAATGAGCTTGACCCATACTCCCTGCTCCTAACACACTTTATCCTCAAATTTTCTATTTTCTTGCTTTGGGGTTTGCTCCCTTGCACAGTGAATTAATTGATCTACTGCTGTAAGACAAAGACAGAGCCACCAGTCATCACAAGGAAATTATCCAAAAAGGTCCATCACCCTGGAGTAGAGCATCACACATTTACTGCAAACAGAAACCTTGGATCACATTGATAAAATGAACAGTTTCACTCTTATTAGCTCAGACAGAGCTCAATGCCATCAAGCTGTGGCATGTAATGAGGTTCACTTCATTAACCACCGGCCATCACAATGCATCCTTCCCCATCAGCCTTCCCTGATTAACCTTCCTGCTCAAGACAGGCACGCTTGTTGGAAATAAGCAGGCCCATTAAATCTCCCTCATTTGAATACATGTGTGATCTGGTGCCTTTTAGGATACTTGAAATGACTAACAGATGTGTTTCCTGGACAGCATGGTCCTCCTGCTGTCTACCACCTCTTGGTGTGTCCCTCCCACCCTTTATATCATGTCTGACTATTACTAGAGAGAGAAGATTTTTCTCTGCATCTCCTTTAGTCTCTCAGCTGTCAAACATCATTTTTTCAACTCTCTATTTCTTTTTCCCAAGACCCACACCTTTCCCTCCCCTGCACTACTTATACAGAAAACGATGACCACTCATTGGCCCAAGAGGACCCTGTTGGCTGGCTGTGGTGCTGTGGCTCTGTGGCACACTCTGATTTCCTGCAATCCTCATTTACAGGGTACTGATGGTACAAAGAGTCTCAGCATTGGGCCAGAACTGTGTTCTGCACAGCAAAAACAGCGCAAAGCATCAGTCCTGAGCCCCTGACAATGTGCCCAGAGGGACACACACGCAATAATGCAGCACCACATTGTGCTCAGTATTACCTTTAGGACTCTGATAGCTTTACAGAGAGAGGAAGTTTTCATTGTTAGTAAACCAATTTAATTTATTTAGAAGCAGTCAATTATGTTTACTGGGCTATGAAAGAACAGGAAGCGTCTGGCGTGCACAGAGATCCAGACTGATCTCTCTGTCTCTTCTTGACAAGCAGCCAGTTTTGAGACCTACCTTGCCAGGCATACTAACACCTCCTCTTGCTTCCTACCCTGAGTTGCTGGGGAGACAGAGCCTTGTCACAGCCCAAGGGAAAAGGGGAAATTTCAGTCATGTGACCAGTATAAAACTGACCAAAGATGGAAGATAAAAGTTAGGAAAAATTGCATAGAGCAACCCAAACTTCTGTCCTTTCAGTGGTCCCATCGTCACGCTCAACACTTCTGAAGAAAAAGTACCCAGACAAGAGCAGAATCACTGCACTGTAAATTTACACAAAGGCAGATGAGATTAGAATCTGGCTATGCACTGTAAAGCTATCATAACTACAGAAATGAGAAGTGTATTATTAACTATCCCTTTTTACTATGTAGAACTAGAAGAAAGTTATTTGAAGCATAAAAATTCTGGCAAAGGGTTGCCATATTTAATAAATCACCGAATCAATTATTCACTGTGAAAATCAATTACTTACTTTAAATGAGAATCTTGTGAATAACCTCATGCCCTTTCATGCCATCTAAGAAAGTTACAAGGGAATTAGTCGACAAAAATTGCCGCACTTATCTTTTACGTGCATTAAAAAGACCACACAAATACAGGAAATTTCTGCCAACAGAACAGTCCAGAACCCTTTTAAGAGAGTCAGGGTATTGCTGTGGATTTACACTGCAGTCAAAAGCAGAGTATGACCCATTGGGGTACCATCTATGATCAGTTATCTGGGTGCAATTCAGAAGCAATCCCAGTGAGTCCATGCCATTTCACAAATGAGAAATCAGAATATGACCAGCCAACTCTATACAAACGCCTCAACAACGTGACCTACATTAAGTACATACTTTAAGGAACCGAAAATGTATCTTCACAGGTCAGGAAATACTGCCATGAATCTCCATGGAGACACTATTAAGTGAATATTGCATGGCCTTGCAGCAGCTCCCCCCAGCTACTGCTTTTAAAGGTTTGCTGATACGTGACTGTTTTCAGCAAAAGCTGAAGTCCCGGCGCAGTCTGCTTCCTCCCACCTACAAAACTCCAGGAGCCCAACAGTGCAAAGTACTCACTGAGCTGTAGAGATATCCCTCAGCGTTCATGGCAACGTACAGACCTGCCTTCACCCCTTGGATTGCCACCACGCGAAGACCCACAGGAATTAGATTGAAAAGGGCTGTGGAAGGAAAAGAAAAACAAATGTTATGGACATGTCACCCTACATGGCCACTGCTGATTTTGCCCCAGGGCCAGCCCACCCCACTCCTGCCTCTTCACAAAAGTGACTGCACTAGGATCAAGCATCCTGCTTCCAGCTACAGGGAAGGACTGCAGCCATGGAGCTGATGGTGAAAGGAAATTTTTAAAAGTACTGAGTTTGGCTGCCTCCCAAATGCCTTAACACGCCCATCAGTCTGTCTGATCACTGCCTTTGCAATGCCAAGGGCTCATCCGTGCTCCCAAGCAAGAGCATTGTGATGGCTTTCTGAGGGCCAGCTGAGCCAGGGCAACTGCACATAGACAGACTTTGCCTGTGGCAAATGCAACACCACAACTCAGTTTAGCTCCCCCTGAAACACATTTAAGCCTAGTCACACTTTCCTGCATTTGCCATATGCTAAAAGAGTACACAGACAGCAACTATGGCCAGAAGAATGCAAATTGACTTGACTCTGTGTTTGCCCATGTGTTCCTGGGCTGTCAAGGGAATGAAGAAACTCAAGAAGAGATAGTGCTTCACTCTGGGACATCAGCACTGCTCCCCATTCAGGACCAGCACTGGAGAGGACAGAAGAGGACAAGATCTTCCATTATTCAGTTTTACTGCAGTCTTATTGATTAAAGCATTGCAACCACTTCCTCTCAGTTAATTACTTCATTGCTCAATTCCCACCCAGCAGACCCTGTATCTCATTGAAAGACTCTCCCCATGAGTATATACATTAATGTGCTGTCAGGCTTTTGCTACGTTTCTAACAGCATGGGCTCAAAGAGGAGACTATTATCAGCACTGATAGACTGAGCACTGAAGTATTAGCATGGCTTTGTTTCTACTGAGCTTTATAGGACAAGAGTATTTAGATGTTGCAGGATCCCTTGTGCTTCAGCTTACAAAGAACTAATTAGAACTCATCCCAGGAAGCTGAAGATAGGGAAAGATGGGCACAGGGTGAGGCAGAAATATAAGCACAAACACAGTGGAAATACTTCACTCAAGGTCTCTTCCTACACAACAGTCCTGAAACAAGAATATGCAATGCCACTTTGCTCAGGACATCCACCAGCTTTCTTGGCTGTGCTGGTTGCCTCCAAAAGAGGATCAATAAGTTCCAGTGCACATGAATATAATTTTTTTCTTCACTTAATTCCCAAGGAAGACTGGATGACTCCCTTCAATGACCTGCCTAAAATGGAGACACCTCAAGTCTAGTGAAAAATCCCTCAACTCAGTCTCTTGTTGTGCTTTTATGCACCATATTCCATAAAACATCAAAGCATGTGCTGAAGTCTTACCAAATCCAGTGTCTGTATGTGTGTTTTGGGGGAGAATGTCAATAGATGAATATGGAAAATGCAGTCCAGGCTGGGTATTGGTCTGTGAATAACTGGAGTCAAGGACAGTGCTGCTTTGGTACTGTCCATTGAAAAGGCAAACACATCCCAGAGTAACTACTCAGCATTAAAAATGTTGCCTATCCCTTTCTCCCTACCATGAAGGTCTAAAACCTTGTGCAATTAACAAGTCTATAAGCAATTCCCCTTCCCTATTTCTTCCTCCTACTGAAAAATGGAGCATATTACTGCTAATAATGAAACAAAATGGGCATCATCATTCATTTCCTACAGCCAATTTGTCTTGCATAGGAAACTTGTGACAGACCATTCAAAGCATTCATTAGGCAGCAAGGTGATAACACCCAGAATTAGTGGTTGAGAAGTTCCACTTGGAAGCACCTACGTGTTTCCAAACCTCTTTCCACCTCTACATGCAAAGGAACAATCCTATTGTGCTGTGCTACAGCAGGAGGACCATGGCCAGTTCCCAAAGCCCCTGGGACCCTGCTGCACCCATGGCAGAGCATCTCCTCCTCTAATGCAGGGGAGCAAGTGGGCAGGCAAGCATAAGGACACAACACTGACAGAGGTAACTGGCAGCCAAAAGAAGTTTCAGGAAGCAATTATCTTCCTCTATTAAAAAAACCCCAGTAGTTTGGGTAAATTCCCAGAGCAATGTCTGCACTCAAATCTAGAACCACCTTTGTAGAAGTTGATGCCTTTTACTATCATGCTTCCAAATAATATTTCATATTTTGAACAGATTTAAAAGCATATAAGCTTAAAAGTAAGAATGCAAAAATGGAGGGAAACCCCTCAATCAACCTCAAAAGCAAGATGCCTCATTTTTTTGTCTCAAAAAAAAATTGATTTGAAACAGCAGATTTGAAAATGGGAAAAAGGACTAGCTATGGTAGAATAGAACTGCACACTGGGTGTGTTGATGTGAGAAACAGAAAATTTAAAAAATGCTTTTAAAACAGTTTCTCTTCTGAAAATGGCACATACTCTATGCCATCTGCAGCTTCATGGAAGGAACATGCTCTTCTACTTCATGGGCTAAAGGGAAAAAACTTGAAAATGTTGAATATTCGTTCCCCTTTTTTTTTCATTATATCTTACCATCTTCAACCAGTGGTATTTACATCTGACCCTAGTACTTCTAGCACACTCCAGTCCTAAATGCATGAGTATATTGTCACTATTATAGTATGGTAATTTATAAGCTAAATTCTGAATGCGTAATTCCCTATGGGTCTAAGTTATCTACAGAAATGGAAAAGTCAGGCAAGACCTGCCATACACAAGGTGTGCTCCCTGTGCTCAGCTTTAAACAGTAGCAAGTCAGAGGAGCTAAAGTAATTTATAACAGGTGATTTGTTCTTGAGCAAGACATTTGTTCTGCAGTGCATATCAAAGAACTGATGGAGGATGCAATGGGCCAGAGCAGCCTCAGTGCATGAGGTGGTGAGGATTAAGGTCCTGAGGGGAGTGAGGAAGGATGCTGAGATGATCAAGAGGCTCTGGTGCAACACATAATGAAAGAAGAAACAGAGTGAACTGCATTTTCTTAACTCAAAGAAGGCAAGGATTCTTCTCAGAGGAACACTACGAAAGAACAAGAGGCACTAGACAAAAGCCTCAAATAGAAATGAGGACTGGATATGAAGAAAATCCTCTACAAGGAAGACAGTGCAGCATGGGAATCTGAGAGGTTATGAGAGGTTATGGAATAGCTCATTGCTAGAACTGTTTGAAAGAACTCAACAAGGCTCTGTACAGCTGAAGATAACCCAAGTGGGATGCTGGAATAAAAGCCTCTTTAACCTTTTGGTATTTCTGGATGGAAAGCCCCAAAAAGTATCCTAGATATGCTGGGCTGTTCCCACCTGGTCAGTCCAGTTCACCTGTCCTTTCTCTACTATCCATTTGCCAAAACATTTCAGATGTTCAGCAGGATTGTGTGGGCAGACAGGGAAGTCCACCTGCTCTATGAAGGGGCATTTTCCTGCTCAGCCCAGGGAGATCAGTAACAATGCAAGCATTGACAGCAGCAGTGAGCCCTGAAAGGCCATTTGAGATCACTGGAGCTGGAAGGAAAAGGTACTGCCCCAAAATGGGGCTAAAACATCACAGGAGGAGCACAAACAGGGGCCATCCACCATGAAAATGCACTCCAGTGGGAAGAGAACTCCTCACATATGCCAATGGCAGTAGCCAGGGAATGTGCCCCCTTGCTTACACTGAGATGGCACGTCTCTAACAGCATGGCAGAAGGAACAGATGTCCCAAGTGCTGGCTCCTGGGAAGCTGGCTGGCTGCCCATTCAAATGCCATTAGAATTTGGCTTCTGGGTTTTTTTTTTTTTTCTTTAAGTGAGAGGAGGTGGAAAATAAATGCCATCAGCTTCAAGAACATACATTAAATGGGCAACAGATAATTAATTTTAAAATTGCTTAAATATTAGTAGTTCCTCTAGCATAAATAACTGGGTTTTTATTAGAACTTTTAATTCCATCAGATGTATCTGAGGGACATGGCGTGTCTCATTTTAAACATTTATTTTGTCAGAGTAAACCAACCTAATGTATTCCATGAAAATTATGCATCCTTTCACAATGCTAATTTGGATAATCAGTGTGGGGATACAGAACACAAAGCAATGTATGGAACACTGTGTTCACCAGCTGTTTAACTGTGCTAAGATGACTTCTGTGTGGAGAATAGATGGTCATCTAGGGTGGGAAGGATCCTCCTGTGGCCCTCTAGAGTGCCCTTCCCTGCCGTGGATGCAAGTTAACCAACTGCTCTTCAGGGATGGGAAAATATTGTTTATCTAGTCTTGGATGAGTTCTGCTCTTGCACACACTTCTGACTGGCTGGTCAGGAATCTTCTGCAGAAGCACTTCAAAACAAAACTGCAGTGAAGCAAATCTGTAAGCTGTTCACTTAGACAAGTAACTTTTGACATTCTTCTGGTCAAAATTAGAGATTTTTTTTGGAGGAAGAGAAAAGAAAAAAGGAAATCAGCTTTATTTTGGCACTACCAAAGTGCAAAATGTGATTTCGTTTCGAAGCTGTAACTGGAAGCTTTATATATTCTAAGATGTTCATTCACACTGAGGATTTATTGATGAGACCATGTGGCAAAAAGCTATGTAAAATTGAATAAAGCACAGTCCTAATTTCATTTTCAGAAGCCAAATATTATCAAGTTGGATTCTTTCCCTCTTTTGAGATCAGAAGATGGGGAATTCTTTGGCTTCGATCTTCTCTCAAAAACTTGCCTAAACTTTCCAGCACAGTCCCTGACTTGGAGCCAGTGGCTTGGCACACTTCAGTGAGATGCCTCCTGTCCCACCAAGCTGCTGAGGCAGGGCTGCCATCTCACCAGATAAATTTACACTCTAGAACTGTACTCAGCCCATCTATTTCCAGTTAAGAACACTGGGTGGAAGCAGCTCTCAAGTACTCAGCACCTGGCCAAACTCCTCTCTGACATTTCTGGGGGGATAAATAAATCACAGCTCTTTGGGCAATGGGGGCCCAACCTCAGCCACGGGAACTCAGGAGGTTCCCCTGCAACCACTGAGAGTGCAGCAGCTTCCCTCATCTCCCCTGTCACTCTGAAATATTGCAGAACTGCTCTTACATTTCTCTGCTGTTTACCTTAATTCATCCCTGCTCCCATTTAAGCCCATTACTTTGTTGTTCAGTCCTCCATGATAGATGAGGGCAATGAATCTCTGTCATCTCTAGCATATCTTCCTATATTTTTGACAAATAGGCCTCCAGTGGGATTTTCTGCAGTTTAAGAACACCCCAGGTCTTCTTCCTTTAAGAAAAAGCAGCTGATACAGCCCTCTGAACTCACCCCATGTGTTGGTCTGAGATTATCTCAAGGCCAGACTCTTTTGAAGGAATCCCTGAGCATAGACGTGTGTGTGTGTGTGTCTAAGTCCACAGATTCTCCTGCTCCACACATAAATCAGAAATGGTCTTACTGCAATCTGCAATATTTAATTTGTTCAATATGAGTGTACGAAAAAGGACCAAAACCTGACATTTGCATTTGATACAGGCCATGTTTCTGGTGGATGCAGCCTCTTGGGTCATTCCACAGGGGCTTTGCCAGCCACCTGCAATTTCAGTCACAATCTTCCCACAGCTCCTCTCTCCTGTATGGACCCCCAGCCCTGAGCAGGGCAGCCCCAGAACACAGCATGCTCCTGGCTACAGCACCCTGCAGCTTCCTGGGAGTGTGGTACACACCAGGGATGTGGGGCTGCAGCCACCCTGCACCCCTGTCCAAGTGCACTTCCACAGCAGAATGTCAGTGCTGCACCCCTACAGATACCCCTCACCTGCAGCCCAGGCCTTGCCTTCCTATTCTGTTCTATTCTGCCACCGTCAATCCAGCCAGGAGCTTCTTTGAATTAGACCAAAACCTGCCTGCAAATCAAGCAGGCTCCTCCTTTCACAAAGTACATGAAGTTTGCTTCCATCACCCCTACCACACAGATTAACATTTGTTCACCTCTAATAATGACTGGGAAGCCAAATTCCAAGCTGGTCAGGTTAAATACCCCTTAAGCAGTGGCACAGGGAGCTCCAAACCAACACAGATAATAAAAAGCATGACTTGAATCCTACCCTGTTGATGCAATTTCTGGCAGCAAGGATCTGAGCTTAACTGCCCACTCAGGGACAGCACTCTGATGCCTATGAAATGCAGAGATGCTGCAGAAAATATTCTACACCCTTTTAAACCTTTTGAAGAGCTTTGGCATTGACAAAACTTCCTCTTCAAAAGGAAAACCGACTCCTGCTTTGCATGCATTTAAACCAGAATGGCTTCTGCACATGGCCATGGCATTTAAACTGTGTGGCTCTGTCGCCCTTTGTTGTCCAGCACAAACCCAATCCTTTTGAACAGGGTTTTGGAAGATGACCTCCTTTGACAAGGTCATTTGATACCCTCAGCCCTTACACCAGCCTCAAAGCACGAGACTTCAGTGAACAGCTGCTTTTCTCCAGCCTAGAAATTCCTGATGCCTGCTGAATTTTTGAGGCTAAAATAGTGAAAACGATTTTCTCCTCTTCTCCTTGGAGAGAGAATTCCCCGTATCCTTTACCCACGTGGCATGTGTATAAATATAATCTCCTTTCTCTTCTGGCAGCAATTCAAATCATGGGTTTTATTCTCCACCCCACCCAGATGGCAGTTACAGAATCGGGGCAGGAGGGAAGAAGATCGGAGAGGAAACATATGAAATGATACTGGCAAGATTTAAAGGGGACGGATAGAGAGAAAAAAATATGCAGAAAACAGCTGCCTTCCTCCTAATTTGATCTTTTCAAAAATGAAGTTGCACAAGTGAGACCCACTAGGTGATGCATTTGATTGTAACTGGGTTGCAAAACAGGCTAATTTTTCTTACTGTAGTCACTGTTTTCGTCCTTGGTCCCATCAATTGTACCATCTGGGTGCATCTGCAGGAAGTATTCCTGCTGGCTGAATAACCTTGTCACAATTCCTTTCAGCTGGGGTTCTGCAAAATAAAAATAATAATTATTACCAGATATACTGAGTAGCACAAGACCCAATTTGCTGGTCCCCCAATAAGCCCTGAGTAAATGCAGAAGTGCTTGGCAGTTAAGACTGCTTTCAGTGATTCCTTTCAAGCATGGCTGTAAAATATTCACATATAATACAGAGACAGGCAAATACAATTGAGATCAGATGAGCAGGTAAAATGAAATGCATACTTGGTGCAGTAGAAACAGATTATGGAACATCAATTCTCTGAAAGTTACCTACCAAATGGAAGTATTTAGACAGCTGATGTATTTAGAATATGCCACTTGTTCAGAAGAGTATTTGCTCGCACTGTTGCAAAGAATGTGTCCATTGTTTCTATTCTGCTTCTGAAGCCAACCACCTTGCTTTTTGTATGCTTGAGTCATTATCATGCAGTGCCAGTTTTATGCCAATGAAAAGCTACTAAAATCACTGGTATTACAGTGGTGCAAACCCAGAGCAACTGAGTGGTGAATCAGGGCTGCATGTGAGTGCAACTCTGTGGGATTTGGGGAGAAAAATTCGGAAAGGGACAGACACAAAACATTTCCAAAACTGACCTCTGAAGCATTTATGGGCACCTCAGACCACCTCTGTTTTAAAATCCTGCATGTTGTCTCCCTCCTAAAACATGGGCCACACACTCTGGCAGATTAGAATCTTTGTCTCCAACAGGGACCTTTCCCAGCCCCTGTGTATCATGAGCCAGCCATGCCCTGGCTGGCTCTTCCCCATTGCCTCTACAACATTTTATACCTTCCTGCTGAAGGGTAAAAGGAAAACATGAACAAAAGCAAAACCAGCTTGAACTTCACATGGCAGAGGTGTGCAGCTTTACCACCTGTCTCCTCATCACCCTACCAATCAAACACACAAACTCTGTGGTAAAAACCAAATTCAATTGTAATCACGGAAGTTTAAAAATTTGTCACAGGCTTTGCTGCTGGAACACAAGTGAGCTGACTGTGTGTGAGCAGACACACTCGCCGCATGGAGGAGATCCTCCTCGTGTGACAGGACTTTGTGGTTTTATGTGACCACCCTCCAAAAGTAAATAAATAAGCCCCAATAATTGCTGGCTCAATGGACAGGAAAGAATCCAGCGTAGCATACCAAAATCTCGTCAGGCTCCTGCCTTTCATGCCTCTGGTGAGGCTGTTTAATAAGCCATGGTTGTTACATAACCGTGGTCACGTTGTGTGTTGATGTTCCCATCCCGAGCCCCGCTCCCGCTGCATCCCTGCACGACTCCCCTTTGGGGAACCCTCACCCTGCTCTCTGCACTCACAGCAGCAGGCAGCTCACACAAAGACAGGCTGCAGGTGCAAAGGATTTCAGTTTCAGCAATCCCTACCCTAGCCAGGGGAGAGTCAGGTACTTTCTCACAGCTCCAAAAGCCACTGAATAAATCAGATCAGATGGTTTCTGTGCTGCCTTAAAAAAGAAGTGATTTCAGCGCAGTGAGCACTGTAGGCTGCAGTCAGGCTTCCTCCCAGCAACTCTCAGTGCTGGGACAGTAAATAAGTACAATTGTACTGGTCATCTACTAAGAGCTAGTGCTGGTCAAGCCAACATATGTCAAAATGACACCTAGCAAAACACTTAGCTCATTCTTCTTACCTAAATGAATTACCTATTTTGGAGAATGTAGAAGCTTGATTTAACTTGCTTTCCGTTAGAAAAGCACATCAAAGCTAGAGCAAATGAAAAGCTGCATTCTCAGGCACAGATGCCTGCATCATCCTCCTCAAGTCTGTCCCCTTCCTCCCTTTTATCTAATGCCACAGTAGTAAAGGCACTAATAGGCACTCTTTGATATGAGACACCTACATTTGAGTCCCTGAATGAATCTTAGCCTTAATTTTACTCACTGGTTAAATTTTAATGTTGAAGTACTTTGCATGAAATGGAAGAGCTCCAGAAGGAGAGATTTAGAAGATGCTCCTGCAGTCTGAGGTTTTCTGTGTGCTGGAGAAGTGGGGAGGTCTTGTCTTAAAGCTCTCTGAAGAGGTGCAGGGAGAGAACAACCCTGACCTTATCTCTTTTCTTTGGAAGATTACTTAGCTACAGGATAGAATTAGAATAGCACCTTTTCCTCCTTCTTAGGGATGCAAGCTATATTTCAACCATGCAAATAATTTTGGAACAGGAAAATCTCTTCCACTTCTACTAAATAGCCTACCATGTAAAAAACCAACCAAATCTGCTTGTTATTAATAACTTATGACATTTTCAGAGTTTATCAGAATAGCACCCAAGATCCCCTGATGCTTCCTTGCATCCTTTCTATAGATGCAAACACTTGACCAGAAGGCTGTATCACCATAGCAAATACAGGATAAACCCTTTCAGATTCCTTTCTCTTACTGACCTGACAGACACCTGGTCAGCTTTAACAACTACCCTCTTCATAATGCCAGCTGTTTCTGAGTCATTGCCTACCTAGGGACAAGGTGGAGGGGAAATTTTGTGTTACATGACCTGGTTTTGCTGAACTTTGAGGCTCACACCCAAACTCAAAAGTAAAACTCAAAGGGAGTGAGGCAGAGAGTTCTCAGCCATACACAAAACCACATTTCTCTTGTTCCTAACACAGTCTGAAAGCAGCAGAGCTCCTCTCTCCTCACTGCACAGATCCTCTTCTGCAGGAACATCCCTGCCCACACTCCTTTAGGATACCCTATAGCAAAAAAATGCCTCTTCCAGACATGGACGTATCAGAGAGCCTTTTGGAGACACACAGGTCTTCTCCTTCCCTGGTTTCTTCATTTCCTTGGGTCTCTTTCTACAGCAGAGAAGCTGCACTTTCAGGTACCTTTAGCAACCTGAGCTAAACCCAGAAGCAGCCAGGGAGGCGCACAGCCAGTTCTCTCCTCTAACACAAGGAGGGCTGAGCAATGGGTGATTTGTCTCACACAGTACAGCCCTCTCTCCACCTGAACTGATCTCTCCTTGCATCCCCAAACCCCCCCAGGCTGGCCAGGCCAGGTCCAAAGGGTCCCAAAACCACCAGTCTCTCTCCAGTGCCTGCAAAGGAAGCAGCTCAAACACAAACAGGTGCACAGGTGACAACAGCTGCTGGAGTAGCTGCTTCCCACCAGGGAACCTCTTGTCTTATGTCTGGGCATAAAGTGAGGTGCTGGGATTTGCCATTCATACAGTAAGCAGTGTGGCTGGAGGCCTACAGACAAAATTTTAGGTGAAGACAACTTTTAACAAGGAGCAAGGACTTACTCATCTTCCCCTCTCAGTGTGGAACTATTACCGGAAGAGAAAATTGTATCATCACAGGGAATTTTGCTGCTAGCCCAGAAGTAAAATGCTGCATGTGACTTTTGTCATATCATATATTTTAACATCACTTCTTTCCATCTACAGAGCAATTCTATCAGTCTTCCAGCACTGCTAACCCTTATGCTGCAGCATTTGTTCTGAAAGTCTCAGTTTATAGAAAAAAACCCCTCAAAACCAGTAGGTCTCCTTGTCAATTAAGGATGCTGAGACATCCTGGTAAGTCAGAACAGAAAGACAATGAAAGACTGAGAACTTTCCAGGTTTGCAATAAAGAGAACCACCCTTCCCAGCAGATAGTATTGACAGTGCTTATTGGAGTACCAGGGGAGAAAAATACAATAAAACCCCACAACCTCTATACTTTTGTCTGTATTTCCTTCAATGGTACTGCTCCAGGCTATATTCAATAAGAGAAAGAATCAAACAGTAAAATAAAGGGAAAAAATGCAGCACAGATAAGCAAAAATTCTGCTATGAGCATTTTTTTTTCCTATAATTCTTAGAATTTATCACAAAACAAACCTACTGTCTAGCCTCAGCCTTGTAAAGCAAATGGGACTCAAATCCTCCTGCTTTTAAAGGTGCAATACTGCTTAATACACTTGGGATAAACCCATTCCTCCCCCTCAGGCTCTCCATGTGCACTTCCCTTCTGCTACAGAAGCAGCTTTCCCTCAGAAATGGAACTGAACTAACATGGACAAGACTTCAGCACCAACTTAGTGTCTCCCTAAACACAAAGTCAAGCACTTCAAAATGGATTTAGGAAAGATGTTCTTGCTGCCTTAATCCCAAACTACTGACTGAACAGAAGAGATTTCCATGCAGCTTCCATTCCCAGTGCAAGACCCCATGCTACCAGGTTTCCCATGCAATATGCAAAGGGATTTTTTTATCCCCACTTTATAAGCAATACTACTATACTTCAGGATGTTTACTTTAAAGATCTTGCTCTAGCTGCTCATATACAGCTGTTGAGGGCTGGGGAGTACTGGAGAAAACTCACTGGACTCTCTTCATGCAGATGCAGTAAGGTCAGTTACTTCCAGTGTGGCAATTCTGGAGGATGCAAGGGAAGATCACGCTCAGGAAGCACCACAATGGGGACATCAGAGTGCAGAACAGAACAAAAACAAGGAGCAAGAAATAAGCTGTAACTCTCCTAGTGTGTAGCATCTGTCAGACTGGGCACTTTACCTTCAGTGAAGACACAGTTGTCACCTAATGCCCCTTCTTAGAGCAGTCATCCACTGACAACTCACTGAACATCCCCTGAAGGGCATCTTGCTTGGTCACCCTTTCCAGAGGCCAAACTCACCACTTCTGCCTGCCCTGCTTTTTAACTTTCTGAGCCCTCTGGCACAGCTGAGGCCAACTAAATCATGATCTGACTGCTAATCTTCCTGTCTCTACTTAAATGGTAATGTGATGCTGCCATTATTCACTTCTGCTGTCCTGCTGCTGAGCCTTAAAGTCATCTCAGTTCACCATGAGTTGTTGTGCTTCCTGCCTTATTATGCAGCTACACAGTGATCTTCATCCTCACAGGGCTTGCCAAGGACATGATAGTTGCAGGGTGCTCACACGCACTTTGTTTATCTCCAGGGGCATGCTCACTGAGGGCCAGAGGATCATGGCTAAATCAGCCACTCTGCAGAGTCATGTCCCTCACCCTCA